ACTTGCTTAAAAAGTTGGACTGACTGCATGTAGTGTTTAAACCCTCCCATCCTGCTCAGATAAAAAGCCTGCTCTGCTACAGCCTCAGTGTGGAGCCGCTTGAAATCAGACGAACTCTCCAGAGCCCTGAGTTCTTTTACGGTGTCCTCGACATCTGTCTCGTGGCATCGTTTGGACAACATAAACACCCGACTCTCTAGTGCTGGGATGTTCTGTCTGTTACTCAACTCTAGAACTTCTGCGTTTATTTTAAAAGCCGAGTCATAATTACCCAGGCTAAACAGCACCCAACTGTAAAGGTTTTTATTTGGTATAATTTCGTCTTCTAGAAGTTGATTTATTTCGAAATCATTTTGTACGTTTGTTTTGATGTGATGAAATCTGTTTCGTGAAATATGCCCGATGTCTTTCAAATTGAATGCACAAGGAAATCTGTTTTCTGTTAAGGTTAATGTTGTTCCGGACATTTTCAAACTTCAGGTATTTTAGTACGTTTAATATGCTGCTACTGAAGATGACTAGATCTGTAGATCAAAAGATGTCATTTAGTGAAATTAATATATATATATATATATATATATATATATATATATATATATATATATATATATATATATATATATATATATATATATATATATATATATATATATATATATATAATATTTGTTACCGCGTGCACAATCTCATGTGATCTGACAACATAACTTATAATTGCTTGCTTTTTTTAAAGATGGGTCAATCATTTGTCACAATTCGGCTGCTGTTTGTGTTTTTAACGCTAAAATCAATTCATTTTATTGTCATAAGTGAACGATGGTCAGGACTATGTTATTTTATGGAGCTTCGGCTTTCTGTAAACAATGAGTGGGTATGAGGTGATGACAGCTAGTATTTATAGGTGTGTGCACATGTTTGACATTTTGAAAAAAAATGGCTTATGATTTAAACATTGAAGCTGTTGTTTTTATAGTGAAAACCAACAATCAAGCAGTAAATTTCAGGTCCCTAAAGATCGGGGGCCCTGACTTCAGTCCTCTCAGCCCCCCCCCCCTTAATCCGCCACTGGCCCCACATAGCTCGATGTCATACAAAGCGAAAAAAATTCCGGATGGTGGGGGAGGGGGGATAATTCCATATGATACAAACCTACACTACATACGAAATACCAACCTTAAATTTAGGGTTTCTTTCAAACATTTTTCTACTTCGTCCGGTGGTGTGGATGCAGGGGCGGAACTACAGTGCCGCCACCATTTAGGGGCCCTCAGCCGACCATAATAAATTTTTATATAGCTAAATTAAAAAAAAATCTTGTATTTTTGACTTAATGGTTTTTTTTTTTTAAAGATTATGTAGCTGCCGTTTGATTATCTTTATTCTATAGACACCATCCCACGCTCTTTTATATTCTTTTCCCCTTTGTTTCTAAATCACTGTGAAAGCCGAGTCCTCTTTCTCCTACAATCAAACACACGCTGTTGTCAGTAAAATTATTTTGAAAACAAAATTTGCGCGAGAGGCCACTAAATATTAAGACGACTTTTGCTTCTTTACAGCTTTGGAAAGGGGCCAGGGGCGGAACTACAGTGCCGCCAGACCCCGCAATGCAGGGGGGCCCAGACCAATTGGGGGCCCAAAAATCCTGGCTAAATTATTTAAAAAAAAAATTAGGTGGAGGTCGAGTTATCTTTCTTCTACAGTTACAAACAAACACGATAGTCGGCAAACGTCTTTGAGAAAAATGCACAGACTATAGCTCGAGAGACCGCCAGACATATAGACAACTTCAAAGACGAAGCATCTGAAATTTGACTGTGCCTGTACGCTTTGAAATCGGGCTGGGGAAATGTTGCGGCGAGGCGACTATCCTGGTCTTCTAGACGATCGGAAAAAGTCGGCACTATTGATGTAGATGTTTATCGGCGCTTTCTTGTCCCCTTCCCTTCCCAACTCTCCCCCCCCCTCCCCCCTACCCCTCACTTCTACCCCTCACCACACCCTTACTCTTACAATAAGATGTAATGCATAGATTAACGAACCGTCTATGAACTGTAAACTGACCACTTCTGCACATTTTGTACAAGACACTAGTCAGTAGTTGTTCATTTACCTGATGAACAGGGGCGGAACTACAGTCCCTCCAGACCCCGCAATGCGCGGGGGGGGGGGGGGGGCGCAGGCCGTTTAGGGGCCCACGGCTGACCAAAATTAATTTTTTTTTAAATTTTGAATTTAATTTTTGCCTTAATATTTGGTTTGTAAAAGAAAAACACTGTAGCTGCGGTACGATTATCTTTATTTTACAGTCACTATACTACGCTCTTCCGCAAAAGATAAAATCCATTACACAAACTACAGTGTAAAATATAGGCAACTCTTCAAATTTTGAATGACTTCTTTGACTCGTTGCCCCCCCCCCCCCTCCCTTTGATAGCTAAATAGAGGACACGTAACTGTTTGACCGATCCTCCAAAGTGTACTGTGGCGGATGGGGCAGTGGATTGGGACCAAAAAGGGGGTTAAAAAATTGTCGACAAATTCTTTACATATTTAAAACAGTTATTTATAGTTGTATTTTTTAACCATCGTCAAGGCCGAGTTCTATTTCCCTACAATCAAACACACGCTGTCGCCGGCAAAATTCTTTTTTAAAAACACAACAAAGTCCATAGCACGATAAGCCGCTACATATGAAGTGGGCTTTAATGATGCGCGGTTCTTATTTGCGGCATTGGTAGGGGACCCGAAATCCATTGTACATTTTTCAATGTTAATATGTGTTTGTGATAGTGGTTGAATTTGTATCCTGTACTATCTTGTATCGTACAAATAATTTTTAAAAAATAATATAATACTAGAAACTTCAGTTTTATATACGTTTACTTGTTTTTGATTTTACAAGAAATATAGTAAACTTTTAAGGCCTATACTTCAAATTATCTCCCTTGAGTAAGTTTTACAATGGGCGATGCTGACGTACATAGATCAAGGCGTTTTGTTGTCCCTTTCAAGTTTTTTCCCGAGCCGACCCCTATCCCATCCCTCTTTCTCAACCTCACAAGTATCGAGAAAATAAATGTATTGTTTATGAACTACTTCCTAACCGTACGATTCACCACTTCAGCACATTTTGTCAGACACTAGACAGCACTAGATCTAGTCAACACATATTAATTTACTTTCATAGTATTAGGCACATCTAATTCACAAAACAGGCAGGTAAGATTATTTTTTATATAATTATTTAGAAATTAATTAGAACGTTTAGAATTAATTGAACGTTATTAATAGTCATTGAGGTGGGGGTGTGTGAGGGTCTGGCTTTTTGTTAATCCCCCCCTCCCCTAAATCAGAAGGTTATCCAACGCGTGACCTGGCCACATACAGTTGTATTCACCCAATCGCCATGAAAACTTGGGAAGCTGTTGAGTACAGCCCCGCAAAGGTTTCTGTCATAGGCCTAGCATTTGTACATATTTGAGTGGGGACTCCTAACGGAAATATGTGATTTAGCGCCCCGTGATCCTGCATAAGCGGATTAGGTTACTACCAGTGTTTCTTCCAGACTTTTTTCTCCAGGGGGGCACTTGAAATTTTCGGGGGGGGGGGGCGGTAAACTTTCTTCGGGGGGGGGGGCGGACACTGTTAAAAGTATATATTTTCTATATAAATTATATAAATTTCATTTCGTTCGGGGGGGGGGGGGCGGTAAAAATTTTTCGGGGGGGGGGGGGGCGAAGAGATGCCTGGAAGAAACTCTGGTTACTACTTGAATACAACCGGCGTCAGTGTCATCCTGAGCGCATCACATATGAGCAAGTTGGCCCCCACAGACAGTCGTTTAAAAGTTCCCACAACACTAGGAATAAGTCTCGCTACAACACTCGATGACTAAATCTAATTAGGTGTCGCACCAATGTTTCTTCCAGGGTAGACTGTTTTCGGGGGAGGGGAGGGGGGGGGGGGGGCTCTGCCGGAAGAAACAATGTGTCACACCAATCACCCGTGCAGTAATGTAACCGGTAGCTCCAAGAGCCCCGTGACTTCCCTGACACCTGGGCCGTCGCCGAGGGATTTACAGCATGCCTAGGCGTGTCTAGTTGGTAGTGTGGACGAACCCGCGCCCTAAGATCCAAGAAATGAACTGCCGACATTGTTAACATTTAATTCAACTTCTGGAAAACAGGGCACACGGTTAGTAACGTTTTGATGAAAGCCTCAGTTTGGTGTGTTGGACTAGATTTAGAAAGGGGCCAGCTCGTGTGTTGGAAAACCTGATTTATTCGTGTACCAGATGGAATTTTTTTTAAAATTGAGAGCGAACCTTGTCTTATATTATATATATATATATATATATATATATATATATATATATATATATATATATATATATATATATATATATATATATATATATATATATATATAATATATATATATATATATATCTATATATATCTATCTATATATATCTATATATATAGGGGCCCAAAAAATTCTGCGGGGGGGGGGGGGGGGGCTTTTTTTCTAGTTCCGCCACTGATACACATGACATGTTGTGATTAGATTTAATTGATTTTTTTTTTTCAAAACCCGATCAGGCCAGAAATGAGTATCCTATGTTCGTATTGTGTGTTTATATATATATATATATATATATATATATATATATATATTATATATGTATATATATGGTATATATATATATATATATATATATATTATATATATATATATATTTATATATATTTATATATATATATATATATATATTATGGGGGGGCCCAAAAATTTTTTTTTGCGGGGTGGCCCATTTTTTCTAGTTCCGCCACTGAAAGGGGCCCACAATCCATTGTGATTTACAATGTAAAATGTAAGTTTTTTGTATTGGTAGAACAACTATTTGTACTATTATGTATTCTACAAATAATCAGAAAGAATATGATAACAATAATTTCGGTTTTATGTACGTTTACTTATTTTTGTTTTACAAAATA